ATGTCCCGTTTGAATCATCTCCCAAACTATTCGTATGTTTCAAATAAAACTTTGTTTCGAGGGGAATGGTGGTCGCAAATCTTGTCTAGACAGATGTGTTTTTAAGATATCAAGGTGATCCTTTTTTTGGAACATTTCAATTTGATAGGCGTGTAGCCTATTCCGTGAATTCATTGACGCACAACGTGCATCTTGAAAGATTGGAGAACCTGCAACTATACTTTAGAGATAGAGATGTAAAAAATGTCGATAGATTCCGTCATGGGGCCATATATCATGTGAAAAAAAAAAAGAGTACGCAGTTTCGTCTGAAAAACAAACGTCACCTTGAAATCTCGAAAACACGAGATTTATGGTCATCAAACGATGTCATCCAATAATTTAGAAGAAATTGCGTGGGATGCTTCAAATGAAACATCGTATACGTATATTATTTTTCGTAATTACGGCATTTAAACTTAGAAATTATTACGCCGTACTCTATCTCCATACGTAATAGTTTAATAATTTAATAATATTACTTTAAATAATTTAAATAATAATTTAATCGTAGATCGGCTATTTAGCCAACTTGTGGCGATCACAACTTACGAAACAATACTGTTCGAACAATTTCCTTCCTAGATAACTACGTGCCCTACTTATAGACATGATTTTTCTTTGTAAAAATTATTCCCCAACAGACGCAATAGTACGCACAGTATCGTTGCATTAATATTGTAAAATGAAGGATCGTTCGCGGCGCGCGAGATTTGTCGCGCAAAGTACTACGGAAATGACAGGACATTATCACCAATGTCATTAAAGTCTGATCACTATGAAATATGACAATAATATGAAGCGATTATCGGTAGCCTTATAATCGAGGCTGCATTAAGAAAATATCTTTCACTGACTCCCCTATGGTATCATTGACTTGCTATATTCATTTATAATCATTTACATTAAATTAACTAATGTCTAGAATATTCCCATTTTGTATTTTACAGTCTACCGATCTTTAATCTTCGATGGATAATAAAATTCAATTCGATTTAACTACAAATGTTAAAATTAGATAATTGAACTGTAAATTGCTAACCAGTTAACACAATGATTAATGACTATAAAGAGTTGGAGAACTTTGGGTCTCAATAATGGAATAAATCTCGGTTAATAAAGTGATTTGTAACAAAGAGCCGAGTATCAATATTTTACGTTACGCGTAAATAATTTCATTAACATCGTTAATTTTCGTATCATAGAGCGAAAACAGATTTCATTGAACATGCTTCTCTTGGTTTAAGTAGGAATATCTTAAATAGAGACGTGCAACACAAATAACTTTGTCACTAACATACTGATTTCTAGCGAATATGTCTGGTAAAGTAATATATAGCGTGTATGTATTCTTTGCCAGACATCTTGAAAAAGTTTTGACGCATGCAGTGACAAAAACAAATACACGTCACTGCATGACCGAAAACATATTTCTTAGTTCACTAGATTTAGTTTTTGCCGATATTGCTTGTTTTTGTCATCTTAATTGCGTTATTAAAGGGTATCTCCCGGGCTCGTTTCCATACGTAGAAAAGTATAAAAACTTCTTCGACGTCGATGAAGTTTAATCGAGATTATCTGATGCATAGTGGGAGAATCAACAAAACCTGTTATGCATATTCCACTATTTCTGTATTTAACTACATATGCATAGTCGGCAATTTTTTTTTTTTTTAAATATCTTAAAAATTTTCCAAACTATCAAAATAACATCGATAGTGAATTGGAATTTTTCGTGAATCATCGTAACACAATGACATAGACTCCCTGCGCTGTGGTTTATATTCACGAGTGTGTGTTGTACAATTAGAGCCGGGCAAACTTAGCGGAAGTAAATTAAGAGAGGAAGCTGCAAACAACTGGTGAACTAACACTATTTCGCTCACTCTACGATTTCATTAATATTTAAATAATATTTAAACATTTCAATAATATTTAAATAATTTTATTTTAAAGTGAAGTCTCTATTTTATAATATGCGTCATTCATTTTGTTCCAAGATGTTTTTTACGTCACATGGCACTTAGGAAACTTTTCTTCTCGAAAATGCTATAAATTGTCGTAATATGTAAAACCATTGGGAAATTTTGTTCACGATTGAATCCACATTTCAGCATCGTCTTCTATTCGTTTTCATCTAACACTCAACGTTCAATAAAACAACGTAAAAAGAAATCGTACGTCAAACTGCAAAAGCAGGCTTTCATCTCCAAAGTTATTGTAGATTCAATTATGAAGGAAATTTTTACATACTAGCTTTTAGCATTTTCGAGAAGAAAAGTGTTTTCGTTTTTCTACCCGCTACGTGATGCAAAAACGCTTTAGAATAAAATGAACGATACATTTTGAAAGCAGAGGCTTCAAACTGTCCCCAGGTTTATTGTTACGTGATTCATTTCACGACATTCTAACAGTTTGAATATTCACTGTCCGAATATCAGTGAGAGCCACTGCAGTTGCAACGAATCGTGATGAGGTTCAAGGTCAACAGGACCGGTTATTCCACCGAATAAAATATATGGTGTCATTTAAAAGAAAGTCCAAATTTCGTGTCTCAGAGAATTTAAAGGAAAAAAAAGAAAATAGAAATTCATATAATAAGGAGAATCTTTCCTGAAATTTTATTTTATGTCGTGCGGAAAATTTTTTTGTGTTTAATTTGACATGAACGAGATATTTCACAGAAACGTGTGAAAAGAATATGTAATAAAATATTGAAAAAAAATTGAAAAAAACACGTAGCGTTGCTTAGCAAAAATTTAAGGTTATTGTCTCGAAGAATTTAAAAGGAAAAATGCATTCGTCAATGAATTTTAAATGTTTTTTAAATACAATTTACGTCATGTAGGAAATGCTTTATTGTATATCTCCGAAAGAAACATTTAGTAAAAACATTGAAAAGAAAACTGAAAAGAATATGTAGCGTTCTCCAATGAGCATTCAAAATTTCATATATTGAAGAACTTATAAAAAGAAAAATATAGACATACATTCATCGAAGAGATTTTTGAATGGGACTTGGTAGAAAAAACATTTTATTTTTGATTTCATATATATCGCGTCATATAAATTAGAATATTATAATATTAGATAGAATAATATTAGAATAATATTAAATTAGAATATTACATAGCTAGACAATCAAACGTCACAAATAATTCTGTTTCTCTGATTGATTATAAACTGGGTTAGAATAAATTTCAATGATTTTCCAAGTGAATGATATTTTTATGTACCGTTTAGAATATGTAATATTCTTTAAATAACAAGATTAGGCAGGATATCGTTCTTTAAATAACAAGATTAAGCAGGATATCGTTCAAAAATAGTATTAAAGAATTGTCTCTAAGAAAGAAGACAATCTCATATTTTAGTCAATATCTTATACTTTATTTAGCTAATAAAAGCGTGTTTTAAATAAAATCAATTTAACGATAGAGATTCTAATATTATTTTTTAATGAATTTTTCAATTGCGATTAATAGTTTGTTTGACAAGTTTAATTCTCACGATAAATAAAGTACGATAGAGACCAAAAGAAGATTGTCACTTTTATGATACGAAAAACACTTTTTTATTATTTTAATCTTCGTCACATCAGGGATAGATATAGAACATTATTGCAATGGCGCCAGAAATAATTTTTTACACTCACTGTCCTATATTTATAGTAGGTTTATTACAACACTTAAAATGCTCTAAATTAATATCAGTAACATTTACAATATTCTAATATTATAAAATTAAATATTTTATTTGATCTTTTATCTTTTATCTTATCAAATATTTTATTGACCACATTACGGAATGAATCCTAATTAATACTCTGTATCCTAATTTTGCATCCTGATTTATGAACTGGTAATACAATCCAATTCTCCTCAAAAACAGGTTAAGTACTTCTTTAATGTGATATAACGTCCAAGGTGAAATACATTTCGAAGGAACTATGTCAATCGAATTTCAAATTGTTCAGACCGGCGATCGATGCCTGTGAATTTTTTACTTCTTCTCAACATAATACACCGGGATATTCGCAACATAGACCAGCATTTTTCGCGTGATGGTTTTTGAAGAAAGTTTTTGAAAAAGAGGAAAAGGTCGTATCTAATATATTCTTTAGACACACACGAGGGTCAATTTTCTATATTTTCAGTGTCGTTCAAGAAACGAAGGTAAGATCAGTTTTGCAAATAGAATAATGTATTTTTTCATCTATCAATCGATATTCTCTACAGAAAGTCTACGCGTGCCGAAAAATTAATAATTTTACTTTAACATATCTTTTGCTTTATTACAAAGTTCTGACCATCGTACAAAATTTCTCAATATAACAACCTTTTTTCTCTTTCGTTTTCTTTTTTTTTTTTAACTCACTATGTCTCACTTAAAAAAAAAAAGAACGCTGGTCCACGCTCACGTTCAATTTCCAAACGAAAAAATGAAAGTTTTCACCGTTGTATTTTCACAGAAGAAAGTTCAAAACTTTTACGAATATCCCTAAAATGAAAATATCGCACAAGGTACGAAAATTCTGACATAACCAGATTGTTACAAATCTCTAATAATTATCTCTAAAAATATCAATTCCCAAGCGAGAAACGAAGTCCGCACAGTTTCACTTCTTACGCGTAAAGTAATTTTCCTTTTTGAATAAGATTATCACAATCAGATACCAAAGTCTAACATGTTCACATTATTGTAAATCGATTCTTCTCAGTTATTTCTCAAAAGAAATAAACTGCAACAAAGTAGAATTGTACTGACACTGCGTATATTTTATCGCTGAATGAAAAGAAAAAGGGAAAGAGAATGAAAATCTTTTCAATATTTCACAGCTATCGCGTTGAAACAATACGTTAATTTATCGAGGAACGAGAGAAATCGTAAACGTTGTCTTCATTGGCGTCGTATGGGGGTTAGTGATCAGGAGACGGTATAAAGCAGAGTGAATACAAGACTCATGCTCATTAATGACAAGATAAGGAGGGAACGTGTAGTTGCAAACGATATAACGTGCCTTGGCGGAAGAATCACGAATTTTCACCGAACACGAATCGGCGTGTTAAATCTCCGGTTAATTGGTTCGTGTTGTGCGTTTAATCATTGCGTGGAGAGACATCGTATTCAGTTTTATTTCGACAACCGGGGAGCATCGAAGGACGATGGAACTGTGAAAAGCAAAATCAGTATACTAAACCAGTTTGAAATTCCTTCAGTAAGTAAAACGTTCAAGTGTTGTGCGGCTGAACTCTTCGAATTCTCAACGTTTAATCAATAAAACGACAGAACAAACGAAATTTGGTAATTTGGCAAGATTCGTCCGTTGTTTTATTTTAAAAATGCCACGTGAATAGAATTTGACCCGAGGCCGGCTGGATAAAATAATCTTACGTTCGATAAAACGATGAAATTGAGAGTCAATTAATCGGGTATCAATCAAATCAATCGTGTGTCAATTGTGATAGTGACTAATTAATACTAATTAATAATCGAAGCAGTTTATGTATACCAGCAATATTGAAATTGACATTGAAAGTGCAAGAAACTACAAATTATTTACAATAAATTGTTTTCTTTTCCACATGTCACCTTAGAGATTTTTTTTTTTTTTTTTTTCTTTTTTTTCTTGAAGAAAAATCTTTAGATCAGGAAGCAGTATACGAGAGCTTGTGAAAATTATTATCACTGTATCATTATCATTATCATCGTGCTTATTAAGTATGCAGAATATATTTTCTTTGTGCAGCTTACCACTTCTGATTCTATTTAAGAGATGCTAGACATTCGTATCACGTATCATTTTGCATATGCATTCTCTTTCGATATCGATGCAAGGCGCGTATTCGAAAAATAACAAGATAGCCCCATCATTTAATCTATTATACCTCCGAGAGCTGTCAGTTGCGCGCGGCTTCAGTTATCGTTGCGTTTTGCAAAATGATCAAAAAAAAAAATTAGAAGCAGAACAAAAGAATAAATAACTTAGCGTTGCGTTATAATTAATTACAGATAAATCAAAGATGATACGAACGTGTCCTCGGAACAAGAGATATGCAATTCAATAATAAGTAGAAATTAAATAGATTTGATGGTTCATTCATTATTTTATTGACGTAAATTTGTGGCATTTGCGCCTACTTCTTTTCCTGTTAGCTTCCGAATAAGTGGAATAGGTTCTAAGAGGTTTCAAATATCGTTGAGATTTTTCAAGCATTCAATTCCAAAAAGTATTCATCATTGAGTTAGAAATTTGACGTTCCTCAATTCTTTGGACGGATCCTCACTTCAAGAAGATTCGAAGAATATTTTTACTGAACGTATAGACAATTTTATCCTCGAAAAGGTGAATAATAGTGTCAATTGATCTTTCTGGAAACTCATTTCGCTAAAGTGCAAGACTTTAATGGCAAGTATTTAAAGGAAGATCTTCTACCAAATTTCTAAATCACACGTATTGGGGTACTTGTTACACAGTATACCTATATTGCCTAACTAGTTAAAGTCATTAAGTGAATAAGATCGGAGAAATTCGAAACAGAAAGCATTGTAAAGATAATATTTAACATATTTAATAATATTTAACAACACGATATACTTTTATATTGAAAATGCATGATATTATATTCTTAAAAATGTGAATATTCGTTTCACATCCTCGTCATTGTTTTAAAATGTATATTTTATATTAATATAAAAATTTTATTATTTAATAATAATATATAAAAATTTTACTATTATTTAATTTTTAAAAATTTTATAAGAATATAAAAAGACAGACAGTGAGAAATTGATGCATAAAATATTCCGGGTAAATTCCAATTACGTATATGCGTACTTTTGGAACTATCTGCATCATCTGTCCAGAAAATTTTTGAATTATACGAGACTGTAAAATTTTGGTCGCAGAATATTGATGACATGTTTCGTCATATTAAGGGAAAAAAATCCTTTTCGAATATCGAATCTGATTTAAACGTACCACGAAAAAAGTTCATAAATCCTTCCAATAACTCAGGATATTAATCTTAATAAAATTACAAAGGGACGCCTGTGATAAAATATTTCTTCTTCTTTTTCGTTTTTATTTATTAAGTTTTTACGTTTCCAATGTTACTTTAGCCTGACATTTTCAAAATGAGAGGACTTGTTACTTACTAAAGACAATCACGTCACGTGTATATACATATATCTGTCAAATGTTAAATATGTAATACAGGAAAAAGAACGTCGTAAATTTCTCAGAATTTGTATAGTTAATAAATAAATTTGAACATTTGAAACTTAATATGTATGTAATATGTATGTGTCGTCGACAGTTGAAAGATATAGCCAATTTAATTTCCCAGCAGACATATCGATTTTAATTAAATTATATTATACAGATCAACCAATTAACGTCGATTGAAATTAGACTGATTCAGACCATCGATTCGCTGTAACGTAGCTATTAATTATTCAACAACAAAAGGTTTATATCGTCGTTGCAATGTTACTGTCATATTATTATTAACATTGCAAAGTGCCTCCAGACACATTACTCACAAACATTTGCATAGACGATCTAAATGACGTAGATGCACCTTGCTACGTAAGACAACCAAAAAATAAAGAGAAATAAATAGAACCTATGAAAAGAGACTATACCGCTTCGTAGCTGTGTGAATAACATTGAACTAAACTCTTTACAAATTAATATTAACATACGTGAAGCCGAGTTCCGTTTCAAATTTACAATTTACATTTTTATGATTCACGCTTGATTTTGACACGCTGCCCAAGATATTTCTCACAGCCTCCTGTTTGCTCACGTTTCTTCGAACTTCCTGTCCGATCAAACAGCTCCTAATAGAATTCCTAAGTGTCGTATGCAAACGTGAACGTATGTAAGGTACATACGAGTACGTTGCAATCGTCTTGTAAACGAGACACGATAATAAGACAATAAGAATTTTTCTAATTGGGAAATGGGGGGGGGGAGGGAAAGTTAACTTTTTCGAGTGTAATAATTGTTCTTCTCTTACGTCTAGCGAGGAATTAAGATTACAGGTGCAACGTTGATCGACATGGTGGTGCCGTAACGAGGCAATCCTTATGTTTCAGAACGATCGAGAAAGAGGAGAAAAAGAAGGAAGTGAAGCATAGAGTGGCAAGCGTGAAAATCAGGCCGCAACGATGAAGTTCACAAATCCGCTGCCACAGTTTAAAAGTAAGTACGTATGCACGTGTAAATGCACTTGTACATCGGTCAGTAAGAATGTTGAGTTTTGGAAAGGAATGTTGCCGTGGCTGGTATAATAAAATTCACGATAATTAAACGTACACTCAATCTCGATTAAACCTAACAATATGTTTCCGTTATCTAAGCATCTCAGTTACACCAAAAAAGAAAAGAAAGAAAAGAAAGAAGAGATGTCAGCATTGAAAAGACTTTGCATGAAACGATCGCGACCCTTTCTCAATCCCCTGTTCTCCTCCGAACCATTTATAATCATTTGAATTACAAAACGATCACGTGCAAGTGACAGCTAAGATCGCGATTTATGTTTCAAGTGCGATTTAAGTATCATTTAAATAATTTCAAGCGTAATTAGAAAAAAAAAGAAAAAGGAAAAAGGAACAGAGATGTTTGCACTTTATATTTTATATCTATCTAATTGGATCTTATAATCTATTACTTTTTACTTCCGCTCCCGCCATGTCCAGACGATTGTCAATTAATAATTCAATTAGTGAGTTTTCAACGCGACGATAAAAATTACATCTTCGTGAATAATTGAGGTGAAAAAAAAAAGAAAACCAATGTAGCTGCCATTTACGAATCGTAATTTTCAATTGAGAGTGTCAGAGATCAGAAAAATGTGCTGTTTAGATGGTTTACGAAACGACGCAAAAAAAAAAAAAAAAAGAAAAAATGAAAAAAATAGAAGAATCGATTTGAACAACATGGAAGTAACAGAAGCAATAGTAATAAGCAGCAATCTGAAGACGGATTGCGATTCCCGCGATGCTCGAATCAAATTATTTACACATCTTTATTAGTACTTGCATACACCTTTTTTGAAGTACACCGCCGTGTATACCGATCGTTTCGTACGAAAATTCGAAAAAATTCCCAGGAAACCGCGCTTGTTGGGCAACCGGAGCCTTGGCGAACCGATTGTAAGAACACCGAACACAACAAGGTCGCAAATTGATCCTTTGAAAGTAGAAACGTACATACGCGCACGTCTCAATTTATTCAACTTTCCGCCACGCTGTATTCAACCTGCTAAAAACTGGTTGTTCGAAGGGCGTTCTTCCACGGAAAGAAAAAAGAAGTTCCAGATTCCTCTGAAATATCTCCGCTGTCAGGGCGAATTATGCCGCGCGCCGCGTATTAACATATTTTCGGAATAGATAAATCGACTTCGAAGGCGGTTCGGCAAACCTTTAAAAGATTTTCATTGGTCGTTGAAATGGCGTGAAAACGTATGGAAACGATAGCGTGGCGCGGAGTTTCGCAATGGCGATTTCGAAAAAAATTGTACACGCGTTCGCGGAAGACAGATGAAGGATGGTTAGGCTAGCCACCGGTCGTTTGATCTTGAACCTCGACGCGAACTCATTTCTATTTTGTCTATAACGATCGATAACGTTTCCTCTCCGATCTTTCGCCGAAACGAAGAAACTGCGCACGTCGCAAATGTTACATGTCACTGAACTTTTATCTCACGAGAAGCCATTTACATTACGAGTGAATAATTTCACGATATTTCAAGCAGAAAAGTCTCCTATTGATAAGATATTTATTACTAGAACGAGACTTGCACTAAGATGTTGGAGTGGTTCGAAGACTTATGTATCGATCTCGATCTTCCGGATCTCCGTTGAATTATTAACGCTTTTGCCTGTTATTTAATACGTCATCATCTGCATCATAACAATGTAATTATCACGTTGCTTACATGTACTTTGTATTTATTAACTACCCTTTGCGTCATATTTATTTCATATTTATCAACTACCTTCTGCACCGCAGTAAATCATTCCGCAATAAATTATTATCCTTCGTTCGTCGCGAAATAATCTTCGATTGGAAGCTGACAATGAAATGCATAGCGAATACTGAAAACACCATTATAAAGAGATCAACGATTTTCATGTAGATGTGCATAACCTTCGATGGGTAACATTAACTTTTGAGCCGATATTTGCTCCGCTATTATCCGATCCACTACTTCTTGAGAACCGGTTACGTTCACCGACGTTCAAGTCGCGTTTAATATAATCAAACTTTACTTTTTCATTCCAGACGCTTGATCTTGCATTTCTCTATGAATTTGCAAACGGTATGTTACGTAATTAAACACTGAATGTATGATGTATTTATTACAATGTATGATGTATTTATTACAATGTACGTTGTATCATTTTTTATTCATGGCACTGGTACGTACGTATGTACAGTAAATATGTAGCAACGTGTTCTACCATCGATTCTCGTCTCGATTATTCCTCATTCAACTCACGTTTCCAAACTGTAAAAGTAAATGACATTTGTTCACCGTGACAATTATTAGCACATACACAATGACATTAGCATACATTTCACATTTCACTATGGACACTAAAGATAAGTAGATACACCATTTTGGTAAAGGCACACATCCGATGACATATCGCGTTAAAAATGGAACGTGCTGATAAACTAAGTACTAGCGATGCGTAGAGAACAGTGTCTTGCACAAGATGCTAAATTTGCATATTTTTCAGCAAATAACGAACCACTTGAAGACTAGCGAGAGAAATTATCAAAAACATTACATATGTACGTGATAAGTATTTCATTAACCAAAGATAATTTCAGTGAACATGAATTACTACAGATGATTAAGTAATCGCCTCTTTAAAATTATATAAGTCAGTAAAATTATATAAATTATCTCGCTGCAAATATATAACACATATATAATATAATAATATAACATATATATAATATAACACATTCGCGCGTAATAAATATCAAATTGAAAAACAAACTGCAATTCGAAATAACGCCCGTGTACGTCAATTACGACATAAGTGGAGCTTAATTTCTTAGAAATTGCCTCCCTGTTTTATTCGAAGAAACGTATAACGATCGTCGATTCAACTTTTTTTGTAAAAAATAAGACGAGACACAGACGTAGACGAGTAAAAAACGTATAAGAGTCCTGATACGATGGCCGATTTACGACGTCAGTAAAAATGGGACTGGTTTCCAATCACCCAATTAAGAGCACAGAGGGTTTCATCCAATTAAGAACAGAAAATTTTCGTTTCATCTTTTTTCAATGTGGTCCATATTCTTAAACTGGCATTGCTCGAATTATCAATCGAGTCAAGGTGGACACGTGTGAATCACGTAGCGTACGTAGGGCACGACTGACGCCTATCAATAACGCTTGCATCGTGACGTTTCGAATCTGTTGTAGAAGAATCGCGAACGCTGACCAACCGCGTTTCTCCTAAATACATATTTTATGAACGTCCTTCTTGAAAATCAAATTCATAGCAACCGGATTCGTGACTGCTCGAAAGGAGAAATTATATCGAGGGAAAAAAATTATAATTGTTTTCTGCGTAACGCATGACGCGTGCAATTTGCATGAGCAATGAACAACGCGGCTCTCGCGCACCATTCGAATGAAATTTAAGGTGATCGAGACTGGTCGACCCGGTGAGGAGAGACTTTTTAAAATGAATTCAAGATCCGATTGAAAAACTACGGCAAGACAATAAACATTGCACCGATGTAACAAAAAGTTAACGTAAAAATAGAAGATCGTCTGGGTATTATTATTCAGATCTTTGAATCGCGTTCGCTGCTTTTCTTCACGATGAAGAAAAAGTTTGCGTTCGCGGCGCAAAATTTATTCGCGATTAACCATTCAATGACTAAAGAAATCTGTTATAAATATTCATGGAATAATAAAATACAAAAGCAAAAAGAGAGTGAACTGCACACCTGACGCTTGTATCTGCAACCTTGTTTGTTTGCGACGTTGAGGACAATTGGACGAACCGTTGCGACTTCTTAGTTAATTTGCACGGTGAACGTCAGCTTCGTGTCGGGGAGAAAACATCAAGGAACGTGAACCTTTAAACTTGGATCGATTTTATTATATTATATTATTCGTGGATGAGAGTTTTTTCTATAGTTCATTATCGAATTAACGCTGTATGCACAATCGTATTTAACCAATATCGCTGTTTTTTATTCGAGTACCACGACGGTGCGATATGATTGATGAAAGCAACAACTCACTCTCATTGAGATTTAATTATTTCTTCAAAGCGTCACTCTTTTCCAGTAACAATAAACAGACCTTAACACGTATACGACCTCACACGTGAAAATAAATCCCGTTGCGTACATTCTTCTCTCCTATTTTTACGCATGTAAATCAATAACCTTCATTCGCCTAAGTTCTTCACGGTATCGCGACCCGTCGTGATACGAGGAATTTACAGTTTGGACGATAAACCTTTAAAACGATAAACGATATTGTCTTGAAAAAGTCATCTTCAATGTCACGCGAAGTATCAATTTTACCGCATTTTCGTATCGGGATAATAAATTTTGTTTGTTCTTTTTTTTTTTTTTTTACTAAAAATACTTAATTTTACGCAGTTTGATATCAGTCAAATACATGATGCCTTTGATATCGATATCTCTGATACCGAATTCAATTGAGGCCAAGAGTTTGAAGATTATATTTAAGCCTACATTTTTATTCGTTTAATTTCATATTATATATATATTGATCGATTGATATCATGTGTATTACACCATCATATTATTTATTTAAAAAAAAAAAAAGAAAAAAGGAGTTATCATTCTGCTCTCCTGTGTTACAGAATGCATAGTATTATTTTTGCTGAGCATCAGTTGCAGCGTCCTGTCCTATCTTATATATCTCATCGATCCAGTAAAATTGGTGCTGGATTACGTAAGTGTGCGATTGAAAATTCTCTCGTCACCGTGAAAAAGAAGATCATCGAAACTAATTGTTCGAAATCGTTTCAAAGGCGTCATCGGCTAATTGACGAAACCTGTTTCAGAAACTTCAAATGGCGCCAGACTCGATGCTTTTCGAATTATGGAAGAAGCCTCCCATTGATGTTTACATAAAAGTGTACATATTCAATGTCACGAACGCGGAGGAATTCCTCAAAGGCGGTGTGAAATTAAAGGTTGAGGAGATCGGCCCCTACGTCTATAAGTAATTGATTCAAAAACATTCTCCAATTGGACCGAACGTCCTCTTCTAACTTTTCATTGCCTCGTCTCTCCCTCTACTCTTTCGCAGGGAGGTTTTAGAAAACGAAAATATCACCTGGCACGAGAACGGCACGATCTCGTTCGTCCCGATGAGGAAGATAGTGTACGTACCGGAAATGTCAGTCGGCAACCCGGAGGATGATTGGGTCGATGTGCCGAATATACCCATGTTGGTGAGTGAACGTCTCATTTCATCAAGTCAATCCGGTAATTCTACTGTCTCCACCTAACCAATCAAGTAATTGATCGATCGCACCGATCTGACGACAAATTAAAAAATATTAACAAGAAGCGGCGTGAGTGTTTTTCAAAGAGGATTATTTGACATATTGACCGGCGATTACGTGTAACTTCTTATCGATCGCCACGTTTTAATTATGCATTCGCGCGAAACGATCAATCTTCAAAACGACACCACTTTTATCAATGCTGATCAAGTATGTCATTAATACATTAATTCCGAAATTGTACGTGAAATAAATGGTCGGAGAAGAAAAACGATTTAATCGTAGCACTTATAACCAATTTAATTGTGGCAATTACGCAGATCCGTGTAAATAAATGTTACATCAGTCACGGCGATTAATAATAATAAACGAACACTCTGCGTCAATACTTTGTAAGTGTTCTTTCTTTTTTTTCTTTTTGCCCCGCGATACACACGATTACAAGCATTTTAGTTTTCGCTGTAAGAGGAGAATTTGTGGTTGCGATTAACACACACACAAAATATCACGAGTAGAATTTCACAGAAGTCACAAACGATTCGGCTAAGAAGGAACTTTTGTTAAAATCACGTGTTTCATCGCAATTATTTATTCCCGAATTCTTTATATTGACGAAAATGAATTCTTTGACATCGTTGAAGAACACATTGAAGGAAACGCCGAGTTGAATCAAAATAAGGGAAAGTTATTATGTATTATTCTGCGAATGATCTTTACTATTTTTTGTTCATTTCCATTGCCTCTTCTCTTTGCTATTGTTGCTCTCAACATACAGGGATTCTTCTCGACGATTCACAACGCCGGATTTTTCGTGAACTACCCCCTGACCAGCCTGACGAACGTGTTACAAAGTAAACCGATACTACACTTAAGCGTTCAGGAATATCTGTGGGGTTACGAAGATCCTCTGATTCGTTTGGCAAGTGGAATCCTGCCAAATTACATAGACTTCGGTAAATTCGGATTGCTCGACAGGGTGAGTTGTTTTGTTCAAGCGGAACTAAAGCAAGTGAAGTAGCTCGTGACATTTATGACGTGATATCGATACGCAATTCCATTCTAGGAAAAGATTAAAAACATTAATAGGCTTGGGGAGGGGGAAAAAAAAAAAAATTTTCTTAAGACTGGTATTTCATACTGGCAAAAACACAGCGATACGCATATTTTCTTTTCATTACTTCCGTAAATGGAATAATTAACAAGCTCGCAGAAGATTGCTATGCAAAAAGCAAAACTTATCCGACGCAACTTGTCATTGATCTTTGCTTTTCATTATCCGTTACTTTATAGTAACAATTATAATAATTGGAAGGCAAGAAGTGCCAACGGCATGCAATTTCATTTGCAAAAACATTCGCGAGACAAACGCCCGTGAACAGTTAACGACGGTGAAAAATTATTCTCGTGTTTATCGGAATTTTCGATGGCAACAACGCCCAACGAGACCGCGATTAGAATTATTAAGATTAGAATTATCAAGAGAACAACTAATTAAGGAAAAAGTATGGGGAAAGAATTGCGATAACTATTGCGAGTACACAAGCTTAGAACCATTAATTTGACGCCGATTGCAGTGCCGCCGCATTTCGTACGAGATAAATTATCGTCGGGGGGGAAAAAAAGTCATAAATGAAAAATATACCGGTTGTTGACACAATCGGCTTACCTTACTGCATATGAATCGATCGAATCGTTTGAAACTTTCTGTTGCTAAACTTTTACAGGCACGACTACACCGAGTACAGTTATAGCATGCACGCACTCTAGACAGTTTTATATTATCAGTTAATTTACTTGAAATATGTCATATTATATATGCATGAGCGTGCCAGTCAAGTGCAATATCAGGTACATATAGACATTAGCATCTTGGCAGCAGCTATATGTACCAAATTGCCAATGGTTTTCGCAATTATTTCAGTCGTTGATCCTTTCACTGTTTATGCAGACATGCCCACATTTCAGAGTTTACGAGGCTAATGTCAACAACTCCTAACTGCACAAAAAGCAATCAGTGAGTTTGCTCAACTATTTCACTTTTATACTTTGAACCTTTTTATAGACAACGATAATCCACATAGGGAAATTGTATTCTCATTTGCTATAAAGAAGAATTATTTTGCTAACTACTAAAAATATTTAATTTCATAGAACGTACAAATTCTATGTCGTTTTAGATTGTAGATTTAATTCATCTCGTGTATTTTTCTCTCTTTTCTTCTTCTGATACGATCAAAACACATTTCACAAATACCGTGGAAAACTGATTCATAAACTGAAACAATAAATCATTATTATTTTACAACACATAAGTATAGATACAAAAGACGAGATTCTGTAACGATACTTCTTTTTTAATATACAGCATATATTTTTGATATTTTTAATACGCCAAATACGCTGCCAGAGTTGCATATGATAACAGGTAATATTTGTTTTCAAGTCTCTCGACAGACAGTACATTGCCTTCCAATTATTATAATTGTAAATTACGTATTCAATCTACCACCTACTCGATGTTACGATATTTATAGAACTAGAAAATATAAGACCACGATGTAAAATTAAGTATCTATGCATGAGAGTATATATTTAACTCTTACATAAAATTAAATGGAAATTTAGTCTATTTGCAAATGTGACTATTTATCTTTTTGTTTTTCAACTGTGTCAATTTGTTACCAAGAAACAAATTAAGTTAAAAAAATGCGGGACGGATAAGAGGATGATTTTCTAATCTGAAATGTTATTACTGATTCAATGTTTCACTGATTTAATTGCGTATTGTCGATTTGCAATGGAAATATTGAGAAATTAATACTTAATAAGTTTTCAATTTTTCTCTTCTTAAGCCATGTTTATCAATATTTTACAGAATAATTAACAATGTTATCGTTACCGATTGTTCGTTTAATGACAGTTTTTAATGAAAGGCATTCATTGATAATATTTAGATGTACGACGAGGGGAAGAACGTCGTGCTCATGAACATAAAGAAAAATAAAAACATGACCGAGGAGGAAGGACGTTATTTAAGTATAGAATTGTACAACGGCAATCGAGGATTATCATATTGGGGATACCGCGAGGAAAAAGAAATACGTCCAGAGTAAGTGAAGAGAGAAGCCAACGAGAAATTAATTACTAAAGAATTGAGCGAAAGAATCGAGTACCATCTATCAACTGTTTATGTTACAGAAACACAGTTTGTAATCGCGTAAAAGGAAGCACCGAAGGAGAATTATTCCCAATGTATATCGACAAACATGCTGTATTCAGAATATATAGAAAATCGTTGTGCAGACCGATACCAATTGTTTTCAAAGAGGAAGTGATGCTAGAGAACGGTATAAATGGTTATCTTTACACCATGCCCGACAATTTCTTAGATCCTCCTGACCAAAATCCAGACAACGCGTGTTATTGCAGAAACAAGGATAAATGTCTGAAGAAAGGGCTATCTGACCTGACGCCGTGTTACTATAGTACGTACTATTTAATACGGATTAATTAGTGAGTAATTAACTAATGGAGAAATATTTAACAATATTGGATTTATTATCATTTTCGACTCACCATACGTTGACTTGTTCGATGATGTATGTTCTTCCACGATTCGAGCTCGTCGACTAAATATCAGTATGGCAAAGTTTCCACCTGTGAGCGTAACATCATCGGCTAAGCTGTAACGTCAAATGTCAAACTTTGAACTTTACGAGAAGAACATAGTGCAGAAGTCTACAAAAACATGTCTCTACAAAGCAGTGTTAAACCAATCGTTTTTCGAACATATGTAGCTAGAAGGGTTACGCCATTTTTTAAGATTAGACTCTTCGAATGAAATTTTTAACACAATTTTTTTTCTTTTTACAACAATTTAAAGGAATAGAACAACCGTATTAATACTTAATAATGTTCACCTCGTAGTGTTGTAACTTAAACATAATTATATTTCATTCTGTACTGCTCAAGGAATCCCTGCAGCGATGTCTTTACCACACTTCCTTAACGGTGATCCCAGTTTAGTGGAAGATATCGATGGTATAAAACCAGATCCGGAAAAACATTCTACAAGGGTTATTTTACAACCGGTAAATATAATATCAATATTTAATTAAATAACTCGGCATGGTTATTTTATGATACGCTTCATTTGTTTCATAATTTAAATATTGCGAGGCTGTTACTTCTTGAATAGTTTTTTATCAAAAGTATTATTTTTCCTAACAAGAGACTATTCTCGCCTTGTTTCACAAGTACAACAATACAATAATACAACAATACAATAGTCAAATTTGCTTATTAAGACAATCAATGACTAACATCACCGTATTCTTCTCCTCTATTTTAACAGACAATCGGTATCCCGATGAAAGTGAACTCAAAAATGCAGATCAATCTCGTCATGCATCCTACTAGCTATAATCGCCGGATTAAACCCTTCAGCAATATGGTAATACCCTTATTCTGGAGTGAAATGGTGAGTACTCCTCATTCAAATTTTAACAGAATCGACAGCTCAATTATCATTTAATATTGCTAATATTATTAGCAGATGCTTAAGCGTAATAATAAACACTGAACAACTGTTCATGCAGGTTTTCCAACTTTTAAATTCTATTCACGTATAATACATAATTGGCCGTAATTCCTCCTCGAAAAATGCGTAGCTGGAGCTGGAAAATTATAATCTCAGTTGCAAGAAATTGTAATCATTTTGAACTTACGTTTTGATCAATTTATTTGCAGGTAATAGACGACGTTCCCGATGACTTGATGCTTCTCATGAGACTCGCACTTCAAATAGGACCAATAGGACAAACGGTGATAATATGGTCGCTGGCTATTGTAGGGATGGTGCTATTTGTGTTGTTGGTACCAACCATATTCTGGATCATTAATCAGCAACAACAGCAACAGGAGACAATGCAGACTGAAAACAGGAGAGACAGCGACGATTTACGAATACCGTTGAACTATGGTCAATACGCAACAATACGTATTTTACCGGCTGTTAGAAAAATCACGTCGAAAACTGATTTATTTAGCTAACTAATAACTATCAAAGTACTTATGTACGATGCTCAATTTTATCTTAATATAAAACAAGGGGGTAGAAATAAGAAGAAATAAGAATCTTTTTATCCATGAGACGATAGTCTTCGTCTTCTTGTTTTTCTCTCTTTCTTTTTTTCTTTTCTCGTGACAAGAAAAATGGATCCACTGCGCTCTATTAAATACTTTTAATCGACTCGGAATACGGGAAAAAGTATTCTATGCTGCAGTACGCATTCAAGGTTTTGCGCTAAAAATATTCTCGTTATGGATCGATGTTATTCTTAACAGAATACTCTCGTTGCATGCTTTAATCCTTCTTGTAAAATTCCAGTGTATTGTTTTTACACTGAAAATTCAGTGTGAAATTTCCTCCCTTTCAATGTATTAAAAAAACATATTTAATATTAATCGTTAAGCAGAATTAAACGAAATGTCATGTGATAACAAATAATATTGCAAGAACATTTTACGAACGTTATTACAAGATTATTTCTTACTGGATAATTTATATACACATACTATATATATCATACATATATTCAATACATCACATAACCAATAATATCAACATATCGAATTAGGTTGTTCCGAAATCGTCTATCGCGGTCTGCAACGCTGCTAGCAAATCACAGAAGTTTTGAAAAGATGGCATTATAAGGCTTCCGTAGAGAAGAGAGGGATAACATATCAATAATATGATATAAAGTATAAATTTTATTACACATTCGTTGTCTATAAAATGAAAAATTTGTAGCGACAGTATTTCAATAATGCATAAAAGGAAGAACATAATTCATTTTGTATTTCTATGAAAAAAGTTCAATTGGTAGAATTCATTCAAGAAAATATTGCTATACATATACGTGTTATTACTTCATACTTAACGACAAGAAGTAAAGATTCATATATAATAAGTCACTTACATGTCTCTATTTCTGTATTCAATATTTTCATTAGGACATCAATCACTGCAACAAAATATTTAGCTATCACTTCTCGTTTCGATTTACACCACCGGAAGTAACTAACTTCACTACTTGTATAAAACGCATATCTCGATACAACATCTTTTTCTCAAACAGAATGCTATTGAAGTTTTAATCATTGCAAAAATTTAATTACACTTTATAATTCATCTGTATTTATTAATTATTATAAGCAATTATACTTAGGGCGCAAAAATATATTCTGAGTTTGTCTAACGTATTATTTTTCAAATTTTTGGACACTTTTTGAAACTTAAAGCTATTTACTGCTTATTTTTTATTTGTTATTATTTTTTTTTATTTTTATAATCTGAATATTCGATAATGAAATAGAAATTTAGATTTGTTAAAAAGATATTTCACTGAAAAAATAAGCAATATGTACAAAATGTGCATGCATTGCATATACCTATATACCTATTTACAACTAAATATATGTTACGATAACTTCTTCTTTATATCGTTATTCTTTATACTTTATTTTACTTAATTTTTTACAATGCACTTTTATTGAAAATAAAAACATAAAATATATTTACCTGTGATACATTATCTACTATTTTATTATACAATATAGATGAAATAAAATTTGGATATTCATTATCAGCAAATATTTTATTTCCTCCAAAAATAATTATATATAAAATCAATATAAAAATACATGTATTTTTATAGAATAAAAATATTATCATAAAAGTATTATAGTATACAATTACAAAAATTCCATTGGAATTAGTAATAATTTGTTATATATGTTTATGTTATACATGTTTATGTTGAACATAGCCATAAATGATGCACTAAACTCGATATTACAACGTAGGATACATGTAAATTTACAGACTATTCTTATCGACAAATATAATATTCTTATATAATATTCATAAAAAATAAAAGCATGATCATAAGTCATTTAGTTTTTTGAACACAAAATCCATCTCGGGTCTATTTTGTGCCATACGATTAGTACACCATTTTCCTAAAATTATTAGGTTGTTGTAAACCTGTTTGTCCCTTTCACCTGCTTTTCTATCAATTAGCAAAGAAATATTTTTATCTTCCCAATTATCAATAAAATCTTTTAAAAATTTATTTTCCAACCTAGATTCATTATAAGCTGATAAACCAGTAGCTAATTCAAATAAAACTATACCATAACTATATGTATCAATTTTTGTAGATAATTTTCGTCCATGTAAAAATTCTTCTGGGAGATATGGTCTAGTACCATGAATTTTGCTTACCTAAAATGAAAATAATAAAACAATACAAAAAAATAATATATTCCATATATTTTTTCAATAAAAGCAAAACTTACTTTCATAGAATCTCTATCTAGACCCTCTCTTGCTAAACCGAAATCACCAATTCTAGGTTCCAAATTTTTATCAAGCAAAATATTAGCACTCTTTATATCACCATGTATTAAAGGCTTTTCTCCAACTGTATGTAAATATTGTAAACCACATGCAATTCCTTTAGCTATTTCATGACGCTGGATCCAGGATAATGGTAGACTTCTATGTTTTAATGATAATCGGTCTTCTAAAGATCCATTTTTCATAAGTTGATAAATAAGACAAGGTATTTTACCATCTAAGCTATAAGCATATAGTGGTAATATATTTTCATGCCTATAAGAATTTAAAATCTTAATTTCTCTAAGAGATTGTTGAAGTTGAAGTATATGACTTTCATCTGAATCGGCGCCTTTTTTCTGTATTCTTTTAATAGCTACATCTGTATTTTTCCATGTACCTGTATAACAAAAATATAATCTATTTAAATGAAATTAATATATATTAAATAATTTATTACTTCTATTTTCATTACCTCTGTATACAATCCCAAAACCACCTTTGCCTAATATATTATATGTGTTCCATTCTTTGGTAGCTACAGTTAATTCATTATAAGGAACATGAGGTATGGTTGTTTCTGTTCTAAACATACGGGCACCATTATCTTTCGTTCCACTAGTTGAAACACGTGAAGAAGCTGGTACAGGATTTGCTGCTGCTAGAGAAGCAACAAGTAAATTGTTAGAATTACTTGGAGTAATTCCAATCTGCATGGCTTGCATTGGTTGATTTAAAATTTTATGAGATTCCTTCTTAGCATTTTTTTCTACAATAATTTTTGATGCATTTGATTCTGGTGGCAAGATCTGATTAAAATTCTGTGTACCTATCCTTAAATCTTTTGTATTTTTATTCAAATGTTTTCCAAGTACTCTATAATGAAGATTCCCCTCTCCATTGTCAAGTAACTTATGAAACTTTTCTTCAACAAATGATTTCAATATTACCATAGATTGATAATGTTGCATTCTAGACAACAGAATAAACAATTCCAATATAGTATGATTGTAATGACCCCACATTGTTAACAATTCATCCATCGGATTCTTTTCTTTTCTCAAACTTTGTATTGTCAATACATCATATTTCATCCATGTACCTAAATGAATTGCCCAATTATTTATTCTCTCTATTAAATTGTTTCATGATGTACTGTTAAATATTATACACAATCTTGGTATTTTTTGAGACTTACCAGCAAGTTCTTCCCACTTGTCATTTTGATTAAGTATTTTACAAAGCTCTGATCGTTCAAAAAATGGCAATTGATACACATATTTAATATTATCTGTACAGCTTGATGTAGCCATAGTGCAAGAATAACTTATTCATACCATGTGACTCTCTGGAAGAAGGATAACTGTTACTTGCAATGATTCATACTAAATTTACAAAACAAACTTTTCCTCTAAATCAACTCCATCTATTTTTATAGTTAATTATTAGATGAAGAATTTGAAACTTATCGATAACCTCAAATGTATAACAGACGTAGATATAATAATTATACATTTACTATTACAAAGAATGTAATTGATGATAATTTTACATGATCGACATAAAAATGTAATTAAAAGTTTTACTAACAATAAAAAGTTTTTTGTTATTTGAACATACTTCATATACAACTCGCATGACCTCTGGAGATCAAGTGTGAAGTTACGTTCACAATCGTAAATTACTGACAAACTTATTATTAAGTCTTTTATGCTACAACATTCGCCATTTTGGATCAGAATCACTGGATAGGCAAAACGTTGTATATGTTGTAACAAAACGACTCTTTGCATGTTTCAGAAAAATATTGTATCTTACAATTTAGAAATATTAAGAAATAACAGAGTATGGCAGAGTATTTGGCATCAATTTTCGGTACAGAGAAAGACAAGTAAGTTGAATATTCAAATTTATCATTTAATAGCATTTGTCAAACAAATATCAATGATGTTATTTCTCTTTATTTTTAGAGTAAATTGTTCGTTTTATTTTAAAATCGGTGCCTGCCGACATGGAGACAGATGCTCACGAATTCATAACAAGCCAACTTTTAGTCAGGTAAGAATATTTCACTTAACCTTCTACTTTTTTCCAAACTTAATATTATTAAATAATGTTGTATTATTCTGCGTATCCTTTTACATGAGAATTTTGTTTTTTGATTTCAATTATTTAGCAATAAATATAATTGTACAATATAAAATACATTTATTCATGTGAATTATCTTAATTGTTTCAGACATGTTTGTTGCAAAACCTTTACGTAAACCCTCAAAATTCAGCAAAAAGTGCAGATGGATCTCATTGTAAGTATATTATAAATTAAACTTCTACCAATATATTCATACATATTAAAAATCACAATTCCTATAATCAATATCAATAAACATTTTACAGTGGTTGCAAATGTTTCTGATGAAGAAATGCAAGAACATTATGATAACTTTTTTGAGGATGTTTTTGTTGAGTGTGAAGACAAGTACGGTGAAATAGAAGAAATGAATGTGTGTGATAATCTTGGAGATCACTTAGTTGGGAATGTTTACATTAAATTTCGACGAGAAGAAGATGCAGAAAGAGCTGTGAATGATTTGAATAACAGATGGTTTGGTGGGAGACCAGTTTACGCCGAACTTTCTCCAGTTACTGATTTCAGAGAAGCTTGCTGTCGTCAGTATGAAATGGGGTATATATTACTTGAATAACAGAAAGTAAAACCAAATAAATTACAAACTTTTCTTTTGAAATATTTTATCAATACTACTTTTCCTAAAGAAAAAATTTCATGTTTTTACAGAGAATGCACACGTTCAGGATTTTGTAATTTTATGCATTTGAAGCCTATTTCACGAGAATTACGACGTTATTTATATAGTCGAAAAAAGGGTAAAGGGCGATCAAGATCACGTTCGCGATCACGCGGTCGTGATCGTAAACGAAGATCACGATCTCGTGATAGAAGATCCAGATCCAAAGACCGTCGAAAAGGTAGAGATGACAAAGGTAGAGATGGACGATCTGGAAGGTATTAATTATGTTATTTTTCAATTGTAATAATCCTTCATAATAAAACAATTTAAATTTACTTGTCACTCTAATGACTGTTTTATCAAAAATATGTTTGCTAAGATTTTCACAAATATTTAACTGTATTTCATTTCTAAACATATTGAATTCTTTTAAACAATAAATACCAAAAAAAAAATGGGATATATACTTTTTTTAAAACAAACTTTTATATATACATAAATACCTGGAAGAGATGAAATGATATATAATTACCTAATACATAATTATGAAATTAACCATAGTGAAGATTATTGCATTTTTAAATATTACATGCTGATGTCAATAATTTCTTTTTAATAATTTAAATTTGTAAAATAGATATACTTTCTTTTAATGTAAAATGAATATATATATATATATATACTAATTTCCAATGAATAATGAATCGATGAATCTTTATATATAAACATCATAATTGTATAAAATGATCACAGTATAAAAAAAATTTTGCATGTGTAATAATAAAAATAAAAATTAGAAAATTACGTATCCTTATTTTTAAATACATTTGCGAATTTCAAATGTTAATATGTAATACTAAGTACCAATAATATTAAACAAAAAAATCGTAGTACTGTAGTACTAATAATACTAAAACACAAAAAAATAACTTTTATATACTTCAAACTACATTTAGCATTACTTCCAATAGGAAGCAATAATTATTACAATATACAAAAAAATTATACTGAATGTTCACGATACAAAAATGAATAAAAATTGTATTTGTATTCATTTGTAATAGGCCAAATTGCTATATTAAACTCTAACGAAATTTCTAGTTCTTTTTTACATTTTATTACAAGAATACAAGTACAAAAACTTACTGGGATATATAAACCGAGTAAAAACCAAGATTTTAATCGCGATTATTGTGACATATATTTGTTTAAAATATTTTGGGAAACGATTCTTTAAGAAATAATTACCAAGTTTTTTTTATATATGAAATGAAAGCTATGAAAAATAAGGTGAATAGCTGCAAACGAAATTTGATGAAAGAATATACTTTATATGGTTTAAATAAATTATCCAAAGTTTTTTTATAAATAATTCTAAAAATAATATAGATTGAATTACGTTTTAACGTCGTAGCTGCATGTATAAAATTGTGATATGCGAATATTAATGAATAACGATGTAATGGGATGCACGCAATCGCCATTTAATACAGTCAATATTATAAATCTATCTATAAACTATTGCTTCCTACTTTGAAATGACACAAACTCTTTAACAATTTCGTTAACGTCATTGCATCGATGTACATGTAGTCGTGATAAAATATATTATGTCAACCAAAGGTTCTTCGAATGAATCGATGACTTTTTTTAAATGCCGACAATATTAAACACGCATCCATTTGATCTTACAATGCTCTCAGTATTCATTTAAGACAATACTTAAAAAACATCTTAATAATTTTACAGGAATAAATGTATCATATTTTGTGGACATCAAGGTATAATATACAGTAGACGCATTTTTCCTTCTTCCAATAACTATCAACAATTATTATATAATGTAAAAAGTATATTAAAGTGGTATAATTGAGTCCGACGGAAAAGACGTATTTTGTAGTTTATTCTCATCAGAATTTCTCCAAAATATACTGTATACAATATTTTAGTTTAAGTATAAATATATACAGTTGTATCATGAGAGCGCACTAGGTATCATAGTGTGACTCTGACAGAAGAGATTGAGCAGTGCGTAATGCTACTTTATATATCAGAAGATACACTACCTTCTTTGTGTAATTTTATTTTATTTTTTTATGGTAGTATAGTACTTGTGATATCTATTTACTTTGCGTCTAAGCACAGAGGTATAAATTGATTAATTAATTAATTAATTCCTTCTCTTAAAGATACTAACAGCTTTAGTAACGTCCTGTCCACTTCACTTATAATGAAAATATTTACACTGTTTAGATTACTAATTAATGATTACAATATTCCATAATAGGTTTATAGGATATGAGATCATTGTTTAGGGGGGCTAATCAGCATAAACAATGAATTGTTGATTATCCACATCTGCAACTTCAACTTGAACAAATTGAGGTTGTTGAAGTTGAATTTGTTGTACTCCTCTGCCAATGGCATTACGTGACCTAGAAACATTAAACATTTTATGTTACTAAATAATAATTTTTTACCGAAAGAAATAATAGATGTATAAAAAGGATTATTAACTACTTACTTAGCCTTTGCATGTGTTAATATATGTGATTTTAAATTCGTTGATTGTGCAAATTTTTTGCTACATCCATCAAACGGACACACATAAGGTCTGTCTCCTGTATGAATTCTAACATGAGTACGAAGATTGAAATCCAGACTAAACCTTTTACCACATCCTTCAAATGTACACTGGAAAGGTTTTTCTCCTGTATGAACCAACTGGTGCCTTTTCAATTTGGAACTTTCAACAAAAGCTTTCCCACATTCTGCACATACATGCACCCTTGGTCCATGAGTATGTAAATGTTTACGCATTGCACTGTTATCTCTGAACATTTTTGTGCATCCTTTATGTGGACAAGCTATAGTGCGTTCTACACCATCTAGAACAGGTGGTTTGCGTACTTTCAATTTATGACCAGGTCTAGCAAATTCTGCCAGTTGCTTTGGATCCGAAAGGTCAAGACCTGGCATTCCATCAGAAATTGAGCTTCCAGAGTGATTGAATTTGGTATTGGATTTACCAGTCATGTATTCTGTGTAGTCTGGATCAGGCTCTGGATTTGAGCCTTCATCTGGAACATCCACCAGGTGAGGAGCTAATAGGACACTCCCTTTAACAACAACAAGCAGTCCCAAACAAAAGCTACTGTATTTATTTTTCATTATTTAAATCACATATTTTTATTTGTGTGTAATAGCAGAATAAACTTTTACAATGAATGAAATTTTTTGAACAAACTGTTCCAGTTGAAAATAAATATTCAAGGATAAAGTTACATAATATATTACCAATACTTTTTTTTGTTTACATTTTTCATATAAAATAAATGTTCTGTTTGAAAATTCATATATACACATCCTAAATACATAAAATTATATACATTCAAGCAACTTAAATTAACAAATAACCTAAAATTTATATAAATTGTACATTTTGAAAAATTAAAATTCATTAATTTCTGTATGAAAAATGATTTCTATTTATATATTCAATAATAGAAAATTGTTTAATTAATACATTTCAATAAAATAACAGCATTTTAGTTTTCTTTTTCACGTTTTTCAGATATAATAAAGAATATTTAATATTAACATAATGTACAGTACATTAAAACTAAAAATAATTTTTTACTTAAAGAAGCTTGTTGATTTCTTTCTTATAATATATATGTAGATAGATAGATCTTTTAAAATGTATTAAATGTGAATAAATTTAATTATCGATTTATATAATACTATGATACGACCACAGTATAATTTACATATTTGTCGATCTGTTTTACAATTCTGTAAACATTTTTTTTTTTATTTTATTTTATCTGTCAACATACAGTTTCAATAAATGGAAATTAAAATATAATTCAATCTTTTAAATCAATTCAATAGTTACAAACATTTCAGAACGACTATGGATATGTTACATATGAATGATGTAAGAAGTCTGAATGCTTCGTACTTGAAGGAATTAATTTATCTTTTTTGGGCAATTTAATGCCTAAAAACGCTGAATTATGCATATTCAAGTGGAAATCTACATAGACGTAATACGTTGATGAAAAAAAGGCTTAAAAATCAAGTAGAAATATGTACATAAAAAGACAAAAGTAGCACGATGGTCTAGAGTTCCATCGATTCTGTTGCAAGTACATTTCCGCCATTATCATTCAACAGGACAGATCCACGTAAAAGAAGCCATTTTCAAAATATGGCTGCCCCCTGGTAGCATAATGGCGTTCCCTCGATCAAAACAAACAACGCAAACTGTCAACGAATTCGTTGATAATAAAGAACCGAGGGATCCGATTAATTTCTTCGGTAAGTCCGTGTGAAAAGCACGGTATCGATTCGAGACCACCGGAAGTGCGTATGAAACAACGTGCGTGGAGATACACTCGCCAAGGTATAGTCTTTCTCAGGCGAATTTATCTTATCGGGTCAGTGTATATTCTATCCGTATTATCGGAAAGGTTAGAAGGGAATAAATGATGAAAAACTTACCGTCATCTGTACCCGATGCCCACATCGTCACCGAGAATTCACCTTCGAGCGTCTTAATTTGCACTTGCTTCTGCTCCCACTTTCTTGCCTTTGTTTCCGAGCCCATTTCCCCGAAAATCGTATGGTCGGACGATCTGAATTTCGACGAGCCACTTTTCCTGGCCTTTTTAGGACCCTTCCTCGATGGGCCGGGGCTTGACTCGACATAAATATCGTTTTCCGGAACCGGGATCTGATCGTACACGCTCAGCGGATCACTACCGACAATTTCCTCTTGCGTCTGTAGTATGATTTCTTCGCGTCCTGGTTCTGGAAGTGTTTGAAGTGCTATCATCGGCTGGCCATCTTCACCTTCGATCGTGGTTTCCACGGTCTCGCAGGGTATCTCTACCGGTATCGTTTCTATTTCAACCTCCTGAATATCAGGTTGAATCTCCACTTCGGTTATTATGTCCGAGGACGCCATATTAATCTCCGCTGACGCCATGTTACTAATCAAAATGGCTGGCCAGGGTTACTCGCGCGACAAGCGCAACACCGAGTTAACTGATCACGTGATCTGCTCCCACCATTTTGATTAGGAAAATGGTGCTCATCCAAAATTCCACGCACTTCTCTCAAGCAAATCCCCTTATTTGGAATCGTTGCTTTGATTCCTCTCGCAAAAAGAAACAATTCACGTAGAATTACTTGCGCGTAACGTTCGCAATGAAGTTCAATGACGCTGTATATATTTCGAAAACATTTCCTACTATACAGCTTCCGATGTAATTCTTATGAGAACAACTAAAATATATTTCTTCTTCCTTATTTTTTTTTTTTTTTTTTT